CAACTATACATTATCTATAACATTTAAAACAGTGTGACCTAAATTTAAACCTCAGATGTTATTTGCCTACAGCTACTAGAATATTCCCCTTCATGGATTGCTGCCTTGTCATGGCGAAGGGACTTGAGTGATTCAGAGAAGCTATGGGCAATGCTGTGCAGGGACACCCAAGACGGACAGGTCATAGTGGAGAGTTCTGACTAAATGCGGTCTACATGGAGCAGGAACTGGCAAGCCACTCCAGTCTCTTTGCCAAGAAAACCCCAAGAACAGAAACAAAAGGCTAAAAGATATGACACTGGAAGATGAGCCCCTCAGGTTGGAAGGCATCCAACATGCTACTGAGGAAAAGCGGAGCACAAGTACAAGTAGCTCCAGAGCTAATGAAGTGGTTGGGCTAAAGCCGAAAGGATGCTCAGCTGCGGACGTGCCTGGAAGTGAAAGGAAAGTCTGATGCTGCAAAGAAAAATACTGCATAGGAACCTGGAATGTAGGATCTATGAACCTTGGTAAGCTGGATGTGGTCAAACAGGAAAGGGCAAGAATAAACATTGACATCCTGGGGGTCAGTGAACTAAAATGGACAGGAATGGGTGAATTCAATTCAGATGATTGTCATATATACTAATGTGAGCAAGAATCCCGTAGAAGAAATGGAGTAGCCCTCACAGTCAACAAAAGAATGGGAAAAGCTGTACTGGGATACAATCTCAAAAATGATAGAATGATTTCAATACGAATCCAAGGCAGACCTTTCAACATCCACAGTCATCCAAGTTTATGCACCAACCACCAATGCCGAAGAGACTGAAATTGACCAATTCTATGAAGACTTACAACACCTTCTAGAACTGACACCAAAGAAAGATGTTCGTGTCATTATAGGGGCTAGTCAGATATAATCTAAACCAAATCCCTTATGAATACACAGTGGAAGTGAAGAACAGATTAAAGGAACTCAATTTGGTGGACAGATTGCCTGAAGAACTATGAATGGAGGTCCATAACATTATACAGGAGGCAGCAACAAAAACCATCCCGAAGAAAAGGAAAGGCAAGAAAGCAAAGTGGCTGTCCAATGAGGCCTTACAAATGGCAGAGAGGAGAAGGGAAACAAAATGCAAGGGAGATAGGGAAAGTTACAGAAAATTGAATGCAGACTTCCAGAGAATAGCAAGGAGAGACAAGAGGGCCTTCTTAAATGAACAATGCAAAGAAATAGAGGAAAATAATAGAAAGGGAAAAACCAGAGATCTGTTCAAGAAAATTGGAGATATTAAAGGAACATTTTGTGCAAAGATGGACATGATAAAGGACGAAAATGGTAGGGACCTCACAGAAGCAGAAGACATCAAGAAGAGGTGGCAAGAATAAACAAATTATACCAGAAAGATCTGGATGTCCCAGACAACCCAGATAGTGTGGTTGCTGACCTTGAGCCAGACATTCTGGTAAGTGAAGTCAAGTGGGTCTTAGAAAGCATGGCTAACAACAAGGCTAGTGGAGGTGATGGCATTCCAGTTGAACTATTTAAATCTTAAAAGATGAAGCTGTTAAGGTGCTACATTCAATATGCCAGCAAGTTTGGAAAATTCAGCAGTGGCCAGAGGATTGGAAATGATCAGTCTACATCCCAATCCCAAAGAAGGGCAGTGCCAAAGAATGCTCCAGCTACCATACAATTGCACTCATTTCACAGGCTAGCAAGGTTATGCTCAAAATCCTCCAAGGTAGGCTTCAGCAGTATGTGGACCGAGAACTCCCAGAAGTACAAGCTGGATTTCAAAGGGGCAAAGGAACTAGAGACCAAATTGCTAACATGCACTGTATTATGGAGAAAGCCAGAGAGTTCCAGAAAAATATCTACTACTTCTTCGTTGACTATGCAAAAGCCTTTGACTATGTGGACCACAGCAAACTATGGCAAGTCCTTAAAGAAATGGGAGTGCCTGACCACCTTATCTATCTCCTGAGAAATCTATACATGGGACAGGAAGCAACAGTTAGAACTGGATATGGGACAACTGATTGGTTCAAAATTGGGAAAGGAGTAAGACAAGGCTGTATTGTCCCCTGGCTTATTTAACATATGCAGAATACATCATGTGAAAGGTAGGACTGGAGGAATCAGAAACCAGAATAAAGATTGCTGGAAGAAATATCAACAACCTCATATATGCAGATGACACCACTCTGATGGCAGAAAGTGAGGAGGAATTAAAGAACCTCTTAATGAGGGTGAAAGAGGAGAGTGCCAAAAATGGTCTGAAGATCAACATCAAAAAACCCTAAGCTAATGGCCGCTGGTCCCATCACCTCCTGGCAAATAGAAGGGGAAGATATCAAGGCAGTGACAGATTTTGCTTTCTTGTGATCCCTGATCATTGCAGATGGTGACAGCAGCCACAAAATTAAAAGACGCCTGCAAAATGGTCTGAAGATCAACATCAAAAAACCCTAAGCTAATGGCCGCTGGTCCCATCACCTCCTGGCAAATAGAAGGGGAAGATATCAAGGCAGTGACAGATTTTGCTTTCTTGTGATCCCTGATCATTGCAGATGGTGACAGCAGCCACAAAATTAAAAGACGCCTGCTTCTTGGGAGAAAAGCGATGACAAACCTAGACAAAATCTTAAAAAGCAGAGACATCACCTTGCCAACAAAGGTCCGCATAGTCGAAGCTATGGTTTTTCCAGTAGCAATGCATGGAAGTGAGAGCTGGACCATAAAGAAGGCTGACCGCCGAAGAATTGATGCTTTGGAATTGTGGTGCTGGAAGAGGCTCTTGAGAGTCCCCTGGACTGCAAGGAGAACAAACCTATCCATTCTGAAGGAAATCAACCCTGAGTGCTCACTGGAAGGACAGAACCTGAAGCTGAGGCTGCAATACGTTGGCCATCTCATGAGAGGAGAAGACTCCCTGGAAAAGACCCTGATGTTGGGAAAGTGTGAAGGCAAGAAGAGAAGGGGATGTCAGAGGATGAGATGGTTGGACAGTGTCACTGAAGCTACCAACATGAATTTGACCCAACTCTGGGAGGGAGTGGAAGACAGAAGGGCCTGGTGTGCTCAGGTCCATGGGGTCACAAAGAGTCGGACACAACGAGTAAAGAGCAACAACTAGAATACCTCCTTATTAACCATGCTAATTGGGGTTGTTGGTAGTCCATCAACTTCTAGGAATTCAAGTCAATTTAAAAGGCTATGAAGTTAGCAGAAATGCTGCAAGTGTGTGTATACAGCAGGCATCCTGGCCTTAAAACTTTTATCAAACTGCAGCCTCCATCAGCTCTGCTTTGCATATGCAATGGCAAGGTGTGGTGGGAGCTGGAATCCAGCAACAAGCCAGAAGCCTGCAAGTTTCCTATCCCTGCTGTAGATTAACAGGGAGCTCCACTTGTGGCACTCAGCACGTGCCTCTTCATTAGTAGCCATTCTTCCTGACACATTGTCCAATGTGTTTGAAAAACCATTAACCTGAGCACATCTGCTTTGTGCTAATCTCAGATGGAGGAGCCAGCTATGGCACCCACGCAAAGACACTGACGTCAGCATAGGATGCTTTGTGTGAAATTCGAGCCCTTTGTTGCCAAAAAATGAGTGCTCTCATTCTGCAGGGATGTCTCTCCCGCCCCCTGCACCCCACAATCTCTCCGCTGGCCCTCTTTTTCATAAAGAATAAAGAGACTCTTCAGTTGGGGGGGGGTCCTCTGTTTTTATTGCAATTACTTGTCTCTGACCTTTACTAAAACTTGCAAAAATCACAAGGAGATCAGCCTGAAAAGAATCATGTGCTCCTGGAGTACTTATCCAGGGAAACGCATTGAAGTAGAAAGGGATTAAGGGGAGCGAGAAAGAGAAGGTCACGCCAAACCAGATTGTTGGCAAGGCTGGGATTAGAGAGCAGACAGAAATCCACAACAAATTAGCCTGGCTTGGTTCAGCGATAGAGCAGCAGATTTTTTTTTTAAAAAAAAGCACAACAACAACAACGCACAAAAGGAAACCTCGAATTAGAACTGGAAGTCAAGAAGTCCTCAGAAATTCAGCAAAAAAATCCAAAACAAAGCAAGTATTGAAAAATACAAGGCATAGACCATCTTTAAAAGTAGGTATTACAACTTTTCAATTTCAGCAGCAAAGCATCATCTATTGCGAGTGCCTGCAGTGATAGATTTAGATAGTAGGGGGTTTGGAGGTTAAGGGAAGTTTGAGCATCTGTCTTTCAGAGCAGGAAGGTATAACAATAAATTGGAAGTAACTGCCTGCCAGGACTTAATTCAAGTACGGAAAGTTTTGTTGCTTGACATCCTGAGAAAACTGTGGGAGGTGATAAATATATGAGGCTAGGACTGTTTGTGTTGGGGAAGTAGAACAGATGAGGGAGAAAGGTTTGCACTGAAATGTACTGTTATATGCAGTATGTTGGCCATCTCGGGAAAAGAGGCTTTTCTTAAACTGTTTAGTTTAATGGTTTCCTTCTGATTTATCAGTCAATGTATTTGCAGAATTCTGTTCATTTAAGTTATCGATAATAGAATTCCTATCTGTTGAAGCTGCCACAGTGCTAGATCTTCTGAAGTACTAAAACATTTTTAACCACATTGAAGTGTTTAACAAATAAAAGAGAGAGAGCATACAATCAAGGTATAGCAAATACATTTAAAAACAATTACAGAAATCAGCAGAGGGTATGAATAAGTTTCAGGAACCCAGATTCTTATTTCCTCTTCTAGCGCAAAACATGTTTTTGGTGGCTCATGACGCTGATGAAGAGGAGGAAGTCTAAACAAAAATTATGCTTCCATAAAAACAATTTTTAAAGGCCATACCAAAGAGGTTCCTTTCCATTGCTGAAGTAATGCTTTATGGCTCCTCTGTGTTACTTCACTATCCTTCCCTTTTCTTCTTCTTTCATTTAGGAGTCTGCACAGAAAATAAGTGTGTTTTCGGGAAACCCACTACCAAGAAGGGACACAGCCTTAGAATCCTCCTTTTACCCAGATCCAGAGTATTACTATGTTTCTATCTGCACTCCTCCTCCTCTCCCTTTTTAAGGAAGCTACTGCTCAATTTCCCCGGCAGTGTGCTACAGTCGAGGCACTGACAAGCGGTGAATGTTGCCCCGACCTTTCTCGAGTGGTGGTACCTGGCTCCGACCGCTGTGGATCATCCATTGGGAGGGGTCAGTGTGTGCCAGTGGTAGCAGATTCACGACCCCATGGACCTCAGTACATGCATGATGGTCGAGATGACCGTGAGCAATGGCCCCTACGCTTCTTCAACCGAACCTGCCAGTGCAACCGAAACTTTGCCGGGTACAACTGTGGTTCCTGCTGAGTGGGTTGGCGTGGACCTGCATGTGATCAGCAGATTCAGATAGGTAAGGAGGACAATACCAAGAAAAAGAGCATGAAATATGCATCCTTCATTTTACCATAAAGGTGTGCCTTTTTTTTTCTATGAGGATTTCAGCATTTCTTACAGCAGATGTGGATATTTCCAGGGAAAATTTATTATCCGTTTTGAGTCAGCCTTCAGAATGTCTCTCAATTCTAATAAATTTCAAATGTCTTCACATCTGCCCGTATGCATTTATGAAGAAAGCATAATATTAAGTAAAGCACAATATATGGTAACAGATGTAGCATAAATGAAAATACAGTCTTTTAGAAATGTAGGTATAATTGCTAGACTGGCAATTTAGGGCCAGATTCACTTCTTATTAATGCACCTTTTTCTTCTCCATCAGTAAAATTCCCCTGGGCCTCAATCAAAATTGTACAAAATCCCAACATGTGAAGGAAGTACCCAGAATATATCTTAAAGATATGGTGTTTTGTGGGTGCTTGAGGTGTTGAAGCCCTCCCCCAAATTAGTAGGGAGGTGCAGTCCAATATCTGGAGATACATACTTTGCCCATTACTGTACTGTATATATGTCCATAGTTTAACCACAGTTGCATGGCTGGAGACAAACAAATGGAGTATCGGCTAGTTCTGTTTTCTCAGCTCACTACTTTAAAGCAAAACAAAGCAAAACATATAAGTTTCTTAAAGTTTCTTGATGCCAACTTTTAGGCCCAACATTTACTTAATCGCTTATCCAGGTTTTACCACCAACCATGGTAGGGTCAGAATCTTAGATGGTAAGGTTTGCTATATTAAGAAATATTCAAAAGATTTAGACATTGACATCATAAGAGTTTGGGAGTTTTTAAAGATTAAAATGTATGTAATTATAACTTTCCCTCCCTTGATTTAGAGCTAGAGCAGGAACATTTAGTCAATCACATCTTAATCAAATCAAAAAGGGTGCCACTGATTAATCGGGCAGCTTGCTATTGAGACACACAGATTGTTGACGTAATCAGTCTCCTTGAATTATGTAGTGGAACCTGGGATTGCAAGGTTAAAGACCCCGGGTTTCTGATTAGCAAGGGTGAGGACATCAGCTGTCACCCCACAAAGCTTCCCTGTTCTCTCTGACCTACCACTACACTGATCTTTATCTGCTTCCTAGTCTGTGACAGTCAGATGAGATATTATGCGGTGGGGTTTTGTTTTTTAATTGTGGAGCTGGGCACAAAATATCCGGGGGGGGGGGAAATTGCTGTTGAAACCTGATAGGTGTTGGAGAAATAGAGAAAAAATATACAGGTTATGGATGTCAGTTTGTTAAGCATTTCAACAACAGGTAGTGTTATATGGTGCAATTTACATAAGTGTTAGGAAGTACTTGGTTCCCATACTGAAATACAGTAAAGCTTCTGAAACTTCTTAAAGCAACTTTTTCCTTTGGGCTGGAACTTTCTCTTAACCTTCACCAGCACTGAAATTCTCCAGGCCACATTGTAATGTAAACTGTAATGTAAATTAAGCCACCAGTTGAATTGTTTCCTTCACAGACAACATGTGTGTGTCCTTGCAGTATTGCGTTAACACCTTCAATGTTCTTTAAGGCCAATAGGTGTTCTTGAGAGTACTGCTGCATCATCTGCATAAAGTAAAACAGAGATGTGCCTTCCAACCAATTTTGTGTGTGTGTGTGTGTGTGTGTGTGTGTGTGTGAAAGTTGGAGAAGGTGGGAGCAGAAACTTCAGCTCTGATAACAGACCCTTAAAACATCCACTCAGCCTGAGGATTTGTATTTGGCTGTTGGAGGTGGGAGGACTTACAGACCATTTGAGCAGCCTGAAAACCTGATTTTTTTTTTCAAATAAACATTAATATTATGCTATATATTGCTGCTCTTTTGGGAAGTACATGCATTTTGTGACTTTCCTTAGAGATATGGTGAGCAGAACTTTCCTGATGAATGCCTGTATTTCAAGATCAATTGCTACACTACTGTGCTATTTTTTTTGTAATATGGCAATGCTGGCTATCATACAACCCACATGTGAGTCACATGAAAACAAAACAGAACAACATTTTCTTGATCCTTCACACTGGGTGCAAGAGAAAGAGGATGAGGCTTCCCTTTTCCACTGTAGTTCTCATCACCAACTTGCAGACACTGTTCTGGGGAGCTGACCTCCAGAATAGTGTGGGTCGCAGTGGGGGAAAGAGCACAGCAGAGGAATGAAGAAGCAGAGAAAAATCACCCTCTCAGCTCCTTCCTTCAGCAGAAAGCCTCTGCAATGAATGGAAATAACATTCCATGCATGAAGAGGGAAATCTGGATTGACCAATTGTTCTTACACACACATGCATATTTATTTACATCGACTTGCTAAAGGCCATCATTCAGCTGAATATTATTTACAAGGACATAAGTCATGTGGCATAACTTTGAGTGGTGAATTACGTCAGTGCTTATATTTCTTGTGATGCACAAAGTCATACAGCTGGTGCACAGCAAGAAATATAACCACCTATTTCTTAGCTTGCAACAATTTGCTGCCAAGGCTACACCACTGGATGTAATGGAATCCTGGCCATCATAACTTATGAATCAAGTTTAACAAGCAGTCAGTTTGCAATTTTCTTTGGTACTGGCATTTATAATGATCTTTATTCACTGTTTTTACTGAAAATATTATTTCATTATGTACGTTTGCTTATACTTTAATACCCTGATTTGAAGCCTTTCATTTTAAAAACCTCAGCATTTACAGCTGATTCACATGAGATGTCAGTGACTATATGGTTTATCTCTTGATGCTTGACAGTTAGATACATCAGATTACTAAATGCCCCATGGTATCTAAGCGATTCTGAAAGATTCTGAACCAGAAGTAGTTACATGGGAAAGTACACAACTGCCACTGTCAGCCTGAGTTGGGGATGAAGGATACTTCATCTCACCACTGTGGGGTGAGCCCCTCCTCCTGTTTTCTCCATGAGCCATCAGACACTGCTATATACTAAGGATGCAGAAGACACCCTTCCCTCCAAATATTTGTATGAACTCATTCGGTTTACCCTTTCTGAGCCCATATCTGGACTGAAATTGATAACATGCACACTTTTATTTGGTCCTAAGTAAATATTCTATATGCACAAGGTTCCTTCTATCTGTGTGAAAAGATCTCTGAACAGCAACAATGCTCTTGTCTACAAATGTTGGTCAGAATCCTTTTCGTGTTTATGTAGGGTTTATATAACTTGGCTGCAACCAATTACAGCTAATTGATGAGATACTGGGCGGCACCTCGGTAGCACAACCAGGCATATGACTGGAGAGTACCCTGGCACCTCAACAGTTAGCTCCAATGAGCCACTGTGAGTTACAAAAACCTTACACAAACACTAAGAGGATTCTGGCCATTTATTCCGCCCTGGAAGGACTTGTGAAAGGGCCTATTTTGCCTCAACATATTCATAGAGTTCCAGTTTCCTGGGTGAAATTATGAATGACAATTTCTAATGTATATAGTCCAGATAACTCAATGGCTTAGGTCTTTGGTTACAGAGCCCGAGGTTGTGAAGTTCGATTCCCCCACTGGGCCTCCTTGACAGGTGCTGGACTTGATGATCCAGAGGGTCCCTTCCAGCTCTGCAGTTCTAATATTAGTCAGATTGTAGTGTGGAGTTAGGCTGAAATGCCTTTTCTTAATATTGATATTTATTACTGAATAAAATAACAGTATCTGCAACAATCCTATCATTGTGCAGGAAAAAAAGCTGCTCTTCAGATTAATTAACCTAGATACTTCTTTCTGAACACTGAGAAGCAAGCATTCCAAGTTCCCTGTTTCTGTCAATTCACCTTTATTCTTTCTAATCTTTAGTCAGAAGAAACTTAATGGATCTGAGTAGCGAGGAAAAGAATCAATTTCTTGAAGCCCTACAACAAGCCAAGACGACCGTGCACCCTGACATTGTGATTGCCACAAGGAGGCGGGAGGAAATCATCAATCCTGATACCAATACCCCACAGTTTGAAAATGTGACCATTTATAATTACTTTGTGTGGTCCCATTACTACTCTGTCAAAAAGACTTTTATTGGACCAGGGCAACAGAGCTTTGGTGGAATAGACTTCTCTCATGAAGGGCCAGCCTTTCTCACCTGGCACAGGTACCATCTCCTGCAGCTTGAGAGAGACATTCAGGTAATGTTTCCATTAAATTCATGTCATGCTACCACATTAAAGCACTGTTCGAGGCCCTAGCCAGCATAATCCGAGGGGGGGGGATAATGAGAGTTGCCAACAAAGGACATCTGGGGTGGGGGGACAGACTCTATCCCTGAAAGAACAAACTGACAGACTAGATTCCAACTGCAAGCATTGTGGCAGGTTAGAATTTTTTTTAAATTCCAGACTAGGCTTTTTTTTGGGGGGGGGGAGGCTGATTTCAGTAGCAAAAGTAAATAAATAAAAATGGGAAGGGTTTTATAGGAATTTTGGAACTTCCTTTCTAAAGCATTATGGCTTGCATCCCACTTTATAGAAAGCAGCCTTGCTTGAAAGGGTGCCCAAGGACACATCTCCATTTAAAAATGTCCTCCCTGAGAAAGGCTGACAAAAACAAGGCCAGTCTAACAACGAAAAAACTAGGATATTGACTTTGCCCATCAGCAGTTAGCACCTGAACCACAGATTGGTGCATCATAGGTCAATCCTGTCTTGAAACCAGGGTTGCCTGAAAAGCTATGGCAAAAAAGTGGCAACCCATTATTTCCCCCATTACTCAAGAGTCGTGCTTGGTCAAAGAAGAAAGATCAAGGTCAAACTCCTATCAGAAGGGACATAAATTTATGATAATTTTTTTCTGATACATTTTCTTCATTTTTTTGTTTTCAATCTCCTCCTGAACTACTACAGAAGTTTCTTTCTCTCTCTTTCATTCACACACTCTCTTACACACACACACACACAAAGAATATGTGTTTTGTCTCCTTCAGGTAAGATGGAGAATAGCTGGTGTTCTTATTATTTAATTTTTTTGCAAGAACCAATTGGTTAGGCCCCTATTCCTTCTTCTAACTTCTTCTAACTTTTAGCCCATTGCTTCTATCACTCACCATGAAAGATTAAAAAATAACTTTATTCAGTATTCGTGAAGCTAACATTTGTCAGAAGAGAATTTCCTCAGATGTTAGACATGCTCTGAGAAGTTTGGAGAATTTTGCCTCTAGTTAAGACTGCGCAACATTCCATGTGAAAACCCATCTAGGATTCAAGAAATGGCTAGAAACAGTGAAATGTGTGGTGGAAAGGAATTTTCCCTACATGCCCAAATGTTATCCGTGTGGCATATATCATCACGGCCAATTTTTTTAACAAGCTCAAAATGTATATTGTGTCTAGATGTGATATGATTTTGTTCACCATTAATCCAAGGTTCTATTCACCAGGACATGCTACAGGACCCTTCTTTTGCACTTCCCTACTGGAACTTTGCAACAGGTAGAAACACCTGTGACATCTGCACAGATGACCTCATGGGCGCAAGAAGCAACTTTGATGCCACTCTCATAAGCCAGAACTCTCTCTTCTCCCAGTGGCGTGTTTTGTGTGCGAGTGTTGAAGACTATGACACTTTGGGGACCATTTGTAACAGTAAGCCATAATTTTTAAGTGTATTTTTTTAAAAAAAGTGTTAGGTATAAGAGGTAGACCTACTGCTATCCTGTAGCTTCCTGGATGATGAGGGATAAGAGCTGGTTCCGAGATTATGAGATTAAGAACAAGATGAACAATAGCAAACCAGCACAGTGACATCCAGAGTAGTTTGTGATTCTTCAATATTGGAATGTCAGCTTTTCTCAATGTTGTTTCTGCACCAGAACACATATAAGAGTAGTGCAGACCATTTATTGTTCAGGTCACATCATTTATATTAGCTTAGCAATGCTTATAGTAATACTTACCAGTCAGCATTATTGAGGAAGTGGAGAAGAAGGAGCTTTCTAAACAAGGCAATCCTATCTACATCAACTCAAAAGCCTATTGAATTCAGTGAGAGGTACACTCAGAGAGGTGTGCACAGTATAGAAACAGAGAAACTAAGGCCTGGTTGGCTTATACTGTACTTCCAGTTTTTAGCACTGCATGAGCAGGTCTAAATTTTATACCTAACAAGGATTTCTTTTCTCAATCATTGTAGCAATCCCTGTTCTCACTCCAATACAATTTCAAAGTGGATAGGTTACAAACCTCCTATCTGTTTTGTGTATCTGGGATATTATGGTATGGCCACTAAAAAATCACTTGACATTAATGGAACACTAGAAAACATTTCCATCCTACACCCACCCACTGTTTAAATCCAAACTGGTGGAAAGGAAATTGTTTTGTTTGTTTGTTTTTTAAGTTTTAAAACAAGATCTCCAACAGGACAGGTTGATGTGCTTCCTGGACACCTTAATTACAAGGTGGCCAGGTGGTATATGAGATTGTCTTGCATTGTACAAGGTATTCTCCAGCTCTCCACAGACTCTTCAGATTCTAGCACATCAGTTCAAAGCCTGTGGGAAGAACTCATGAGATAACTTCTTTTATGGGGCTTTTTCAGAGAACAAGATGTGGGCAGCTGGGGAGGCTGCAAAGCAATGAAGAGAGTGGTAAAGCACACAACCATGCTATGCTGCATTTCTGAACAAATGGATCTCATCTGATTTTTGGATGCTACACAAAATATAAAACTGATCAACTGGAGATTGCCAACTAGTACCAGGATCTCTGGGGCAAAGATAGGAAATAATATTTCCTGAAATCCTGGAGAGATGCTGCCAGTTAAAATTGACAAAGTTGTACTAGATGGAATCAATGATCTAACTGATCACAAGATAACTTCCTGTTTCCTTATATTCTCTAATACTTCACAACCACAAGGAAAGTTGAAACAAAGCGCCCAAAGAAATTCTAAAGCACCCTGTAAACAGGACACAAATGGGCTTTTCTTTTGAGAAGGAAATAAAACACTGGAGGGTAGATTTTTTAAAATTTTTTTGGAGGGTAGATTTTGGAATAGTGCTACCTGAATTACTTAAAGTACCCCTCTATCAAATAGAGATAACACAAAGCTGTCCTTAACCGAAAACTAAACATTTTAGTTGCTTTCCCTGTGGCCCATTATTGTCTTTCCTAGACTTTGTCAGAATCTTTGTAACATATTGAACTTTGCCTCTCCCCCTTCCCTGCTTCCCTCCCAACTTCTCTTCCCCCTTCACATGCCAGGCACAGAAGGTGGTCCAATTAGACGAAATCCTGCAGGAAATGTTGCCCGGCCAATGGTGCAGCGCCTTCCTGAGCCACAGGATGTTGCTCTTTGCTTAGAAGTCGGATTGTTTGATACACCTCCCTTCTATTCAAACTCAACGGACAGCTTTCGTAATTCACTAGAAGGTAAGGATCTCTCAGACAAATAGGGTGGAAACAGAGGGGGCAAAATCGGTTGTACTCATCCAGTTTGCAGTGAGTGAGAATAGCAAAACAAAGTCATTTAGAAAACCTGCCTTGTTTTTGACACCCACAATTATGTCAGGAAGTATTCCTTTCCAAGACTAAATACAGGAGTATTGTAACCAGCACCCTTCATTCTGAAATACTAACACATTACGAAAAAAGAGATCTACATACTGAGAGAGAGAGAGATCTGCATACTAGTAAACATATTTTAAAGCTCCCAAATAGTTTGCCAGGATACAGTAATGGTTAGTATTCTGTACTTGAATCCAAATCATAGCTGAAAAAGAAGTTATGTTTTGAAAAATCTGAATAAGAGGTATCACATAGCTACACATGCAGAGGGTCTGCTATCTTTAAAAGAGTTTTGGCATTCCTGATTTTAGGTACAGATACCCATCTTTCTCCCCATAGGGTTTCTCTCTTTCATGCAAGAGTTGCTTTACATTTTGTGCAATAAACAGAATGGCTGTAGGTCCCCTGGTGTTTTCTGCCCTGAACTGGTAAAAGATTTTTGCACAATGCCAATTATTTAAATTACAGCTTGAGAAAGTTACTTTCTTGGACCTCAGCTTGCAGCACCCCCTCTTCCCAAGCAGCACAGCCAGAAGCTCTGTTTAGCTCAGAAATAAATATATGTTCTAAGTTGATGTCACAAATATACACAGCCTTGATGCAATTCCAACTCATAGGCCAAGTGTGTAACAACAGAGATCAAGGTTGTTTTATTTTGAAAACTACATCATTCGTGGCTTGGAAGAAGAAGAGTGAGATGTCTGGATCAAGTCTGATCTTCTCATGGATTACAATTTGAGGGGCAATATTATGACTTTTGACAATATGAATGTCTACTTGGTGTTGAACTATTCTGACTGGGAGGATTCTGGAAATTGTAATCCAGAAAAGCAACTTTTCCCAAGCCTGACCTCTGCTTCTGTGTGCCCTGTTATTTCTGACAATACTAGGTGGCAAAATACAAAACTTCCAGTTCATATGTTCACACTGTTTTGTATTTTGAAAGTGGTCACTTAAAGTCTGGTGTCTAGAAAGATCCTTACAGCCACACACAAAAATTGGGTGGTTTCAAGACATGAAGCCACACCGCACCTCTGCACAGCCCTGTTCAGCCCCTGCATCCTCAACTATCTCCATCCCTGTGGGGAGCAGAGAAAAGCTGTAAGTTTCATTCTTTTTAAAAAGTGAAAAGGGGGGGAGAGGAAAAAAGATCCTCTTCCATCTCTCCTGTCACAAGGGAATAGGGAAAAGCAGGATTTTTTTAAATTGGAAAGTGGCATGGTTGGGGGGGGGGATCTGCTTTGATTTAAAGCCAGCAATCACACATTCTGGAAACCGAACTAAAAGCAATACTACCCACACTAAGAAAACAGTAGCCTCTGCCAGGGATCCAAAAAGGTGCATTTAGCAATGGATAAGCGCCAGACTGGTTCACAATTACCAAAATATCATGCCATTGCCTGAAAATGGATCAAACCTGGGCATGCCAAAAGCAGCCCAAAACATGAGATAAATTGCTATCTGATCACACTGTAGTATTCTGATCTCTGTACAAAACATACAACACAACATTTTACTCAGTACATACTGAGCCATTTGGCTTCACTTCCTATAATGCCTCCCCACTTGCAGCAAAAAAAATATTCTTGGACTTCTGGTGACCAAGATGATTCTCTTCCAAGAAAGGTGTGTAGTGGTGCTAGAAAATCTGAATGGACGATTGTGAGGCCCCTCAACCCTAAGGTCCCTTTCCAAAGTCAATCTGTTGGCAGCCATTCAAGAAAAGACAGGTGAAGAACAGAAGAAACAGCTGGCCAATTAGCATCTTTGACTCCTGGCATCAGCCATTAGAAAATGTAGATGGTGGTTTCCATTATGTTCTCTGCCATTCTGATCCAAAAGCAATAGCCTCTGAACTCGATGCTTGAAAACAGATTTTTTTTGTATTTTACCACCAATGTGCAACACTTCACTTTACTTATCCAACAAAAGGATTAGCAAGCATGCCACTTCTGCTTCATAAAGTATTGCCAGATTACTTAGGCTTACGTAACCTCAAAAAGGACAGGTCTAGGGAAACGGCAGCCATATATTCAAGAAGGAATAGGGGAGCTAAGCAGTTTCCTGAAGTCAGCCAAAAGAGTTGCCTAACATTCGACTAATCAAAACTGGATCGGGCTGTGAATGCTGAAGGATTTCCACAATTGTTTCTAACCAGCCTCTTTTCTTTATTCTAATATACAGGCTATAGCCATCCTTCTGGAAAGTATGATCCAATTGTCCGTAGTCTTCACAATCTGGCCCATCTCTTTTTGAATGGCACAGGAGGGCAAACCCACCTGTCTCCAAACGATCCCATTTTTGTCCTCCTGCATACCTTTACTGATGCAATCTTTGATGAATGGCTGAGGAGACACAATCCTGGTGAGATGTTTTGGTTTGCATTGCTTTCCCATACTGAATCAAGGGTTGAAGTCCAGTTCGTACAGCCACACCATATAAGGCTGATGATGATTTTGGAATAAAATACATTCCAGTTCACCCACCCACCCACACCCACCCACACACAAAGGTCCCAAGGCTCCATATGGATCTCATTTGTTCTGGGGAAGCTGTTGGGGGCCGTGGGATGGGAGCGAAACTTTCATTTCCAACACTTGGCACCACTAGTAAAGTCATCCCCATAATGGCAATTTACAGAAATTGCAGCCTCCCTGTTACCATCCTGCATCTTGCAAAAACTTCCCCACAATGAACAGGATTATATAATTATTTTTAAAGGCAATTTTGAAGCAGTTTTAGAAGGATGTTGACAGGAATTTTTCGAGTTTCACTCCATTCTCTAAGTAATGAAAAGCTAAGGAGGAGGATAACAAGAAACAGAGCAGTTTACTTTTTAAATGTTGTGATCAGTTCACAACATTGGTTTACTCTTCAGACACTCTAACAAGTAATAGGAAACTTTCCAAGCTCTGCAAAGGAAATGTTGCCATCTCGCTGCAACCATGCAGTAAAGCACAGAGCTCAGTAGAATAGTTCTGTCCTCTTTTCCCTTGTTTCTAGAAGCAGAATAAAATATAGTTAATGAAGGAGTTGCCGTGTTAAATCTTGTGGCATTTCCCCTTGATTGTCACAACAACCATAGCACTCTCTTTCGCCCCTCTTAATAAATGCAGGCCAGGTACTGCTATCCAAAATGGCTATCCCTCTTCCAAAGAAAGGGAAACAAGGCACTCACTACTGCAGGATTCTAAGGATGTAATTGTAAGTTTCATTCCTGCACTGAAGAGTAAGATTTTTCTTCTTGCCTGCAAGAAGGTGAGAACTTTGTTTCAGTGTCAGTTGGAGTTTTCACATTTGGCAGAACCATTCTTGTTCAAATAATGTGAATTGCACAAAACTGTTATGTCTTTTGCCTTGGTGCCTGGACCATTAAATGACTAGGAGCATAGGATGGCCTGTTTGCATCTTTTTGATTAATCTGCCTGTTCTTCTGTATTTACTCTGTGTGTGTGTGTGTGTGTGTGTGTGTGTGTGTGTGTGTGTGTGTTCAGCTTCACAAAGGGAAAAGACACTAATGTTGCATAGATGTGTTTTGTGCAAATTGCAAAAACAGTTCAGGGAGGGAAGAAGTGAGGAATCTGCCAGGACTTGAAAATTTTTCAATCTGTCAAAGCCTAAATAGGCCAAATGAGGAACTGAGTATTTTTCACATCCTTTCAGGGCACACATTTTCAGGTAGTACTTAAAATATCTTACAGCACTGTTTCTCCATCTCAAGTCAAATGGCAGTTCTGGCAAGTTGCAAATAGCTGTTTCCCAATGCAGTAAAACCCCACAAGTTCGTGTCATGTTCTGCTAACAGATACAAAGCAAAGGCAGATGGCATCACAGGAGGGAGGCCGTTTCTTTGTGGTTCTGGGCAGAAGAGAGCTAAAGGAAGGAAGGAAGATAGAAGAAAGGCACATGGAGCAGATTTTGGGGGGGGGGAGGAGAGAGCAAGAGTTTCCCAATTATATTGGAGGTTTGGAGGATCCTCCTAAGATTGTTGGGGAAGAATTCCATTTGCTTCATTTATTGAAATGAATGTTTGAATATTTTTCCCAACCTGACCTGTCCGCACAATGGAATGCAGCTGGGATATGCATTACCTCCAGACAAGTGTGCAGAACCAGCTCAAAGAAGGGTATTGGTGTGATCAAGACCACAATGTGCTAGAGGAAAGACTCTTTAGCCCACAATGCAGAACAACAACCCCATGGCTCCCTTCTGTCCCATTCAGCATTTGGGGGTTAAAAGATTTTAATCAAAGTTGCCCAGGGATTGGAAGTAGGGATTTTAAAAAAAATGAGCTGATGGTGCCAAAGGAGAAGAGTGGCAGACTCAAAATCAAGCTAGGTTTTCTACTGAGATTGAGAGATGCACAAATAGCATCACAGACCTGGACAAGGATCAGGTGGGACTATGACCAAATAGTTACAGGGGAGGCCAGACTGCATCCCCTTATTCAGGCATACATTAAATCAGGGGGCTGCTGTACATCCCTTGAAATTCAGGTATACCCACTAGTCCACATATCTAGAAATCATTTTCACCTATTTAACATCAACCGGCAGTATAGACATATTTTACCAGTTACAAACGAATGGCCTCCATGTCTGCCCTTGCTTTTCTTTTCTGTCTTCTTCCCTTTTTCTCTTCTTTACACTTCAAAGCTACTTGCAGGAAGTATATCAATAGGTTCATAAACCTGTAATTTACAACTGTGTAAGTTATACTTATGAAATTCATTTATGAAACTGTTATAAAGTGTGGCAACTGCCACACGGGATAACAGAAACTACCAGAAAAAGGCAGCATTTGGTATGAATGTGTCACTTCTTGTATAAACTGTTTAGGAAAAGCAGTGGGGGAGGGGGTCCCATGTATCCATGGGGTAACCATTGTTTTTTTCTACTTTATGTCTGTGATACTCTGACAAGGACATTTCCATTAAACATTTACATGGCAAGGGACAAAATTCAATGTGGGAAACATGCAGACCTATGTACAGTAGGAGGGAAAGCATTTAAGGCTACTTGACCATCCCTGTCACTGGTATTTCAGAATGCTTTCAAATCCAAGCAGGATTGGGTGTTTTTAGAAGATGCACAGAAGGTCCTTAGGATAAAGACCAAAAAATTATCTAAAGATGGGAGGTTTGGAGGAGGAAAAAAAAACACCCCACTCCTTTAAGGTATGCGCAGGAATAGAAGGCCATGACATAGGTGCATATATGTCTGATCATGGCAATTCTTTTTATTGTGGTGATCCAGCCATCTACATTCCTTCTGCTCAACATACAAATGGTCCTTCCAGACTGAAGTCTCTGTGCACTACTCTTCAAAACACGTTTAGCAATTATTCTGTCTTCTCCAGATCTTGGGGGTGAAGAAAGGGGACATAAAAAAAACCACAGTGGGCAGAACCTTACTCCTAAAGCACCAAAATTATTGTATAGTGGCTAAAATTTGAGTCTAAGACTTAGGAACGTGGACTTAATAGAATGGATCTTAGAGGATCAGTCTTCAACAAATTTTCTAAGTCAATTGATGTAGGCTTTCAGTCACCAATAGTAAAGAACTGGTTCCTATGGAGAAAAGAGATGCATCATACTTTAACAAATTCTTGAACTGAATTACTCTCTCTTTCTCTCTCTCTCGTTCTCTCTCTCTCTCTCTCTCTCTAGATATCTCAATATACCCACTAGAAAATGCCCCCATTGGACACAACAGACAATACAACATGGTACCATTCTGGCCTCCTGTGACCAACAACGAGATGTTTGTTACAGCACCAGAAAATCTAGGCTACACTTATGAAGTTCAGTGGCCAAGTAAGTGATGTACTCCACTCTTTTTCATTATACAGCAGACCCTGCCACCACCATCCCACTTTCTCTGCTTCATTGGGACAAGTGTTGATTATTCCAGTATATCCTGCATGAAATTGCTATAAACAACTAGTCTCCTTTCCCCAGCTGCTTTGAAGTGGACTCTATCCATAACATACTAGATGAAGCATATCAGCAGTGACGGATTTTCTGTCTGCGTTGCTTGTCTGAATGACAGAGACAAATAGAGGTCAACCATGTTTGCCATCTTAATTTGCTAGCAATAATCTCAGCAGTGACAAGCACATGTTGGCAGCAGCAAAATGGGTCCCAGAGGGCTGGGGTGGTCCCGTGCTGCTTCCAAACCTTTAGAAGCTGTCTGAACTGGTCTAGAATGGCCATGTGGGGCCACAGCTGATCATTTAAAACAGGGGTGAGCAAAGGGTGGCTCACAGACTGCATGAGCGTCTAGAGGCATTTTTGAGTCCACCAAGAATCCTTCATATTAAAAATGTTTTTAGGATAACAAACTGATAAATTTGTGCTCCTAAAGGCCTCCAGGCAAAGCAATTTTTATATTAGGACCTTGTGGTGGGTCCATTAAGGCAGTGGCCCCCAACCTTGGGCCTCCAGATGTTCTTGGACTTCAACTCCCAGAAATTCTGGCCAGCAGAGGTGGTGGTGAAGGCTTCTGGGAATTGTAGTCTAAGAACATCGGGAGGCCCAAGGTTGGGGACCACTGCACTAAGGCCTTCCAACCTCACAGAAATTAAAAAAAAACATTTAAAAAAACCTAAGTACTGTATACCCATCTGGGGAGGCCCTGTGTAGTCTCCTTCAGTTTTCAAAAAAACTTGCAGTGCAGGCCAATAAGGTCAGGGAGGTAAAACTGGGGCAGATGCAGACTCTGAACAATTTGCACTTACCAGCCCCTGATCTACAGCACAATTATTATTCAGGTGGATCGCACATGTATCAACAACCTTCTGTCTTTGACTACATGTTCTCTTCTTTCTAGCTCGAGCTCTCCATATCACTGAGATTATAACAATCGCCATTGTAGCAGCATTGATCCTGGTTGCCATTATATTTGCCGGAGCCACTTGTATAGTTCACGCCAGAAGGAGGGAGGATGAATTTCACCAACCTCTTCTCACTGAGCAGTATCAGACTTATTCAGATGATTATGACAACATACCAACTCCCAGCCAGTCCATGGTGTGAACTGGCAGCTGCTTAACTGCACTCTGCAGTGCTTGTCCTTCCTGATCAACTTTACAATAATGAACATTAAGAGTGACAAAACCTTGTTAGATCTCATATCACCAGGGACATCTTGAGACTTCTGTGGCTGCAATAGGTTTTCTTCTTTAGAGTTGCTCTCCATTTTCTTCAGTTCTGTGCACCTCACATTTTTGCCATGAAATAAAATGCCTTTCCAATCAAAATTGTAAGAGACTGATGCTAACCATTCTGTGAAGGCCTAAGATAATTACTATGTATACATTTCCTGTTCAGCTGTTGTTTTGTGACTCTTTCTGCTGCCTGTGGTAAGTTATGCAAGATTTAGAGCTGAAATAAAATAAAAGGGTAGCTGACATGAAGATTTTAAACAGTATCAAAAAGCACCCATGCATTCAACAGCCTGTTGTGGAATATAATGAAAGGGATCAAAATTGTCTAACTCTTTTAGAAGCCTTGTCTTCTCTCAGAATTGACTTTATTTGAATTCGGTGACCTGGTTGGCTAAGAGATGGGTCATCTGGAAGCATTGCCTTAACTCTAAAACTGCTTGCTTCATTTTCCCTCAATGAAATTAGCTTGTAGGAAAATACAGCACTGTGCAAGATAGTGCCATACACACTCCATGATACCCATTTGGTTGGGATGACTCTATGAAAATGGAAGGGGAAAAAATCCTAACGGGAGGAACGATGGAACTGAAGCAGCAACAGCAGCAAGGAAGTGAAATCATGGCAACAAATAGTTTCATCATTAAAAAGGAAAGGAAAGGAAAGTACCACACAGTGAAGTACTTTTGCACACAAAAACCTCTTCAGTTAGTTTCAAATCTAAAGTCAAAATGTACAAGTCAAAATTCATAACAAGGATGCCTAAATATTGCTCAAAAGACATACATACATGTATATCTCTAGTTTTACATGCACTAATTTGTACTAGCTGATTTTTTTTCCTTCCGACCTATTCCAGAATAACATGAACAGTAACTACAGGCATGTTGTATTATTCATTCACTTACATTCTTAGATCATAAGCCATTTCTACACAGTTCTTCTCAGAAGTGGTTGATAATGATCCATGTTCACATGCATGGAACCAAAATGCATCCCTGTCTTTTCTATACCATGAGTCAATATGTCCTTTTTTAAATGAATGATTTTTAAAAGACTGACACAAGAGGGAAGCACTTAGAAATTTGATTTTCCCTCCACCTAGAATCAACCTAAAATCTGTACTTCATTAATCTATGGTATACAGAGATTATACTGAAGGAAGGTACCTACTCTCCTATTTAATATTTGTACAGATCAAAGGAGTATAGTTTCTCATTGTGAGGAAGAAAAATCTGAATATCTGTCAAATTGCAAATATGGAAGTTTAATGGCACAATGCTATGGTATAATATACTATGGTATAATATACTGTATAGCCACCTCGATTCCTGTCATCCTGCACCACAGCACTTCCCATTTCCTTCAGCAGAATCATGAACCTAGAGTTGCCTCTTCCAAAAATTTGGAAGTAACTAGATACAAATAACCAACTACTTGCAATTGTTTCTTTCTCCTAGTAAAGCTCCATTATGCCTCAGAGTTTGTTGTGTGCACTGAGGCAATGACAAGGTGTGTGGAAGGGCAGTGCTTTTGTACAACACACCTGTTGCTTGTAGCATTCCACTGCCAAAGTAACTACAGTATTGTAGTTATTTTCCAAAAATGGCAAAGCACACATTACTTTTTTAGGCTGCATCTGAAAGGCAATTACGTAGGGTATTTGCAGCTACAAGTATAACTAACAACTTCTTAATAGTTACGTTCCAAATTCTGTCCCCTGCTTCAGGCACACAGACAATCTGGGATTTCAAGGCTATTTGCTTAACTATAGACATCAAATCATAGGTGAGTTGGATGCTTTTAGAGGTTGTGCTTAAACCAAATGTCAGTTGATACTGCAGTACTGAAATTGTTTTGGCTCTTAAGAAATACATATACAGAATGCAGCCACCTGAAACAACAATACACAACACCCATGCAAATAATTATGGGCTGGTTCTGACACAGGCTACACTGGTATCCAAATGCATGCATGTACAGTGTGACATGTTTGTAATACCCCAATCTAAAGAGCATGGGGGGTATAAAAAAAAAGTCCTCACACACACACACTTCTCTGCCCAGCTCAAAGGAATTTGAGTGAGTTTACAAACAAATGATCTGCAATGTATTCTCAAAGGCTTTCACGGCCAGGATCTGATGGTTGTTGTGGGCTTTTTGGGCTCTTTGGCTGTGTTCTGAAGGTTGTTCCTTTTAATGTTTCACCAGTCTCTGTGGCCGGCATCTTCAGAGGACAGGAGTCAAAACTCTGTCTGTGCTCTGGTGCAGTTTGTTTGGATAGTTGAGTATTTACAGCTGTGGGATCAGCTTTTGTACTTTTCAGGAGATGGGTGATTGTGGTGATCAGTATGTTCTTTGTTGTGGGTGTATTGTTGTGATAAGAAGGAAAGATGATCTGTCACTGTGATTGATGGGTGTTGTTAGCTGGTCTTTTGTGTGCAGTGATCACCAGTCTTTGTAGCTGGGTAGAGTCCGTTGACCTTTTTGCCAGCTGTATTTTTCAGTGCTGGGAGCCAAGCTTTGTTGAGTTTTAAACTTTCTTCTTTTTTGTTGAAGCTCTGCTGGTGTTTGTGGATTTCAATGGCTTCCCTGTGCAGTCTAACATAATGATTGCTGGTGTTGTCCAGTACTTCAGTATTTTGAAATAGAATTTCATGTCCAGCTTGTTTTAGGGCATGTTCAGCTACTGCCAATTTTTCCGGTTGTTTTAGTCTGCAGTGTCTCTCCTGTTCTTTGATTCTGATGTGGATGCTGCATTTTGTGGTTCCAATATATACCTGGACACAACTGCAAGGTATCTGGTATACTCTTCCAGTGGTGAGGGGGTCAACTGAAGTTTAAAACTCAACAAAATGATCTGCACATTAAGATCATTGTAGGCCATACTCTGTGCTTTTTAATGCTTCTCGGGTTGGTGTGGTTGTGATGTATTATTGTTCTAGAAAACAGTCCTCTCTCTGTCTGTCTTTTCAATGGATCTGTTTCACTGCCACTGTTATCCACAGCTATCGTAAGGAAAGATTGACTCTCTCACACAAACACACTTGTTGGGACTAGCACTTATGAATAACTGTAAATTCAGGGGGAAAGATCAGGAAATGTTCTTGGATTGAAATCCACATCAGAAGAAAATTTGGAAATTATAAAGCTTGCACTGTCTTTAAGGCAAGCATTTGGATACAGAAAAAAGTAAGATGGCATAGAAATTATTAAAAAAAATTAAATATTGGCATGGAGAACCAGCTCACAGATTTTGCACAGGGAGCCAAAACATCTTGCTTAAATATTACTGTTTATTATTCACTCTTATAAGAGTGTCGCACCAGCATTTATTGGATTCCCGCTTTCAGAACAGAGTCTAGAATAAAATGTTTCTGAATGATTCCTGCATAGATGTTACCACAGTGGGAGACAAGATGGATTTTGGACTGTTTCTGTATTCTCTGCTGTTTTCTGTGGAGGAAGAACTGAAGAATCTGTGCCAGGAGCAGTGGGAAGCTGTGGGCAGTGTTACCTGGGATAAAAATCCTGTGACATATTTAGTGGGTTGTGGCCTTGAAAAGGAGGACAGAGAAACACACCTTCCCATTTTCATCTACTCTGCCATTTAAATTTTTTTAATATATGTTTGCTGATTCATGCAGCACTGTTCTAGATGAATGGGATACATTGGCAGTATTATGTGTACCTTGCTAGATAGACACATTGCTGTTTTGCTATGTCACTTTATTTAATGAAAAAAATAAAGAAAAGAAGAGTGAGCACAGCCTGCTGAATGATGGCAGCGGGAAAAGGCAGGAAAGGGGGCAGGAAGTGGGGTGCCATTAATCAAAAGGGGACAAATCAGGGTGATCCAAAGAACTGTCTGGACCCTTCTCACAGGGGGAAAAAAAGCCAATCTGTGTGAATGGAAGGATTGCTCAAGGGAGAGATAAAAGAGATCACCCTAAATGTATGAACTTTTAAAGCACAGTCCAGACCCCTCAACCCCCCCCCCCCGACAAGCCCTCGGTGTCACTGACCTCATGGGCACACTTGGTGCAAAGAGAGGAGAGGGCCTGCTCAGTAGCTGTT